CCCCAAAACCCCAAAACCCCAAAACCCCAATAGTTGAAAATGCTAAAATTTTTGGAAATCTTATATAAAGATTTATATTATTATTTATTATAATTTAGAATTGATCTTTCATGCATATTTTATCAACTGGGACTTAGTTTAAAAAAACTAATAGTGTTTTATTCTTAATTTATAAGATTTTTAGGAGAGTTATCTTAGAAGTTACTCCTTTTTCTTATTCTTCCTTATACTTAATTTCCTAATTTAAAGAGCTGCATATGCAAAGATGTTTATGACCTGTTTCTTAGTTAGATTGGAGATCTTATTGGAATAGATAATTAGTTTGAAGGTGATTGCATTTTTTACTGCGGAGTTTGATAATCACTATCATCCTCATATTAAAGCCTTCCAGTTTATTATTCATTTAACTCTTATGAATCTTCTGAATTTATTACTGCATTAAAATTTAGATTAAGATTAGCCTTCTTTTAATTTTTAAATTAAGATGTCTTTGGTGATTTCTTAGTTTTTGCATGTAATAGATTTTTTCCTGTTTCTTCAAAATCAAAAGCTTGAATTTTTTTGGTAGGAGATCTTGCAGAAGTAGCATCCATATTATTCAATATATGATTAGTTGTAGGTACATCTTTATTTGGTATTACTAGGCTAGAGAGCTTTGCAATAAGCTGAGCTCGCTTTTTATTATATTTTTTCAACTTTTTATTTGTTTTTTTTGTTTAAATTTAGGGTAAAAAATGATGTTACTAATCTAAGCACTCTATTTTAATATCTCCTGAATTAGCTATAGATGGTGAAACTTAATTAAATCCCATTGAAATTTCCCGAGCATTTTCAGTATCAAATTTATCTTCAAATTATTTCAACTTTTAAAGTATGGTTGTAGACCCAAATTAAAATGTTTTTACCGTTTCATCTTATTTTTAAATCATATATTTGCCAATATCTTTTAGCTTCTGATTCAAATAAATTTTTCTCCTTAATCTTCCAATTATCTATCTTAGTTTAAATACTAATTAAGAAATAATCTCGTAGAAAATAGAACTAATATTGCAAAGAATAAATAGTCCACAGATACTAGTAATCGTCCATCCTACTTAATATCTTACATAAACATCACTTATATTATCTCCAATCAAAGCTAGAATCAAATAAAGGATTATTAGTAATACACTTTCGTTGAATACCTCAAAATAGTTCCCAATTTAGGTGTCGAATGGCTAGAAGTAAAGTTGATAACTGATGATTTAAAGAGTAAATAGTGAATTTATAAAGATCTAGAGAACATGAAATTCAGAGAGAAAAACACATGTTGCTGAATAAATTAGCCTTCTGAGGAAAAATAATCCAACGTAAAATATCAGATATGGATGATCAGTCTTTATTCCGAGATACAATGTACCGTATCTGGCTTAAAAATTCTTATTAGAAAGATTTTTCTAGTTCAAGCAAATAAACATGAAAACAAATGCAGGAAACAAGTATTAAATTACAATAACAAAAGCAGATATAGCTAAATTAGTATCATTCTTCTATTCTCAATACAAAAGCTATATATCAATTAATTCAAAAGTTTACCAAATGAAGCTGAATACATGTTGAAATTGATAGGCTTAAAAAACTCTATGATATATATCTAATGACAGAGTTGAAAAATATCTTTTTTTCTAAATCACTTATTATTGCCCTCACCCTACCATATAAGATTAAATAGCATGCTTAACTTACTTTGCATATTTTCTAAACATAAATTGTAAAATCAAAATAAATAGCCCAATTAAAAGTAGGAAAACAACAACTACTATTATTAATCCAATATTTATGATTAAATTTGTGTTCCCAAACCTTTAATATGTTAAAATTTCTAGAAGTGATTAGAATAAATTTCAAAAGATATCTGAATTATTAAATTGATCTTTTATTCCTTCGTTTGAATTATCTAAGTAATTAAAAAACCAACGTTTTATAGTAGCTGAATCAATGATCCTTAGAGAAGTAATACCAACTAATTAATCAAATCCTACTAGGACATTTGAGGGAAGATTAATACCCATTAAAGGCACACTAACAATCATTTATAGTACACTCATCATTCTCCACAAGAGTTTCATAGAAAATCTGCTGGCTAATTATAAGAATACATTGATTCCAACTGCAAATAGCAGAGTGTTCTTACTGCCACTACCTGCTTATTATAAAACCATCATTGCAGCTAAAGTAAAAATGTGATATGAAATAGGATACTTGAGTTAAAGAATTACTAGGGCATCCTTCTGCTGATTATCAAATCTTTTTTAACAGACGCATTTACACTCTTGAAGAACTCCACATCAATAAATTTTATTACTAGGATATCTTATAACTATAAAGTATAAGGAGAATCTAATTTCTTACTGATTTTTGAGATATACCCTTTGAGAAAGAGAAATATAGTTGCAGTTTTAGATTTTACCTAGTATAGGAGATTAATTCAAAAGCTGTAACATTTTGCTAATTTAGATCTATTACTTCAGTAAGGCCATCTCTAACATAAATTTTCAAAGTCTGATACTAATCTATTTATGTGATATTTGTAGGAAGTGTATCTATTTCTTTGTCGAATTTAATTATGACTACCCCAGTATTACTTATCTAAATAATAGAGGCGTATATTTGACTTGGAGATTATATTTCTTCAGTATTATAAGAGCTGCTTGTATGATTAATTTAAACTACTTTCTACTTTGGTAGAACAGTAAGAGTGAATAAAAGCAATCTTATTTCCAAAGTAGAGAGTATCTAGATCTCTGAATATATTTTATAAACTCCTTATTAATCATCTGTTGGTTCAAATATCAAAAATCCTGATTAATACTTTGTAAAGGAGGAAGCCTCTCCGAATTGAAAGTTTATAGTAAATAGCTAATGAAAATAGAGTTACTTCTCAAATGTTAAGAAAATATTTTTCTTCGATAATACACCACATCTTATTCTATAATCCTTGATGCCAAGAAACTCTAGTGGATCTGGTAGAGTTGGTAAGTCTATTATTATAATGTTTGGCTTAGCAACTATTTCTATTTTATAATCAGTTTAATCAATGCTATTTGAAAGTGTATCCTTTGCCTAAATTGTCAAAATGTAAAAACCTATTTCAGTTTCACTTACTGGAGCCACTGTAATAGATTTAAGAGATGATTTGAATATTATAAAACTTGGTATTGTTGAAATTACTGAATATACTAGGTTTGAACAGCCAACCATAGATTCTTTAAAATCTATCATTTTAATTACTTAAGTATTTGAAACTTGCACGATAATAGGATCAAGTTAGGGAATTGCAGTAACTTAGTTGTAATAGCATAAGGATGGAACTACAATTTAAAAGGTAGTTGAATGAATTTATGAGGTATAAAGGTTAGATGAACCAATATAATCTGAAACTGAAGGCACTTTTATAATTATAGTTATTTAGTAGGTCCCATCTAGATTTAGTCCATTTGATTTTAGTTAAAAATGAGTTGGCTCCGAGATAAATGATATAGATAAGGAAGTATACTACAATGAATCCTCATTTCTGATTGAAGTTACATCTACCTTATAAGGACATTCAACTTAATAGGATTAGGGCCAGTTCACTTCGGCTATAACATATCCATCGCCTAATCTTAGATCAAATACTTAGTCATTAATGATAGATGTTGTTAATTAGACTTTTTCACATTCATACTATTTGAGATGCACACAATATGAAAAACTGCCACCTGATTATCTAGAGTTCTATATATAACCTGTAATCGAAAAACAGAGTAACTTTCCGTCATGAGATCAATCATTAGTTTATAGATTTATTTTATAGTTAAGATTGTCAATTTAATGGATGCTACCAGCTGCAGCTACTGTATCTGATAAGGTAGTATCTAATGTAATAGTATGTTATATAGTGGCTTTTGAACAAGTTGTTGTTATTCTCTGAGGAATAGCAATGTCATTAGTTCCAATATAATATGTATAAGTTTAGTCATTCATTACATTGAAAGTATATAAATTTTTTGTTTCACAGCTAGTTATCGAAACTATAGTTGTTACTATATTTGTAAAGCTCAGTATAGATTCGCTCAGTGTTAATGTTTAAGATGAATAAAGGTTGGAATTATCGGCCATGACATTACTATCTTAGGTAAATGGTGGTGTCGAAGCTAGAACAGTTATTGAACTACCTAAACATCTATAGTTAACTGAGTAAGATATGATAATGCCAATATTTTAACCATAGGATTGATTTGGAATACCTGTTGGTCCTCCACCAAAGTTATTAGTATAGCCAGCCAATATCAATCCATAGTTTAGACTTTAATATGAAGTATACAGGTAATAGGTTGACTAAGAAAAATGTGTAATATATGTTGATGTAGCAGATAAAGTATCGAAATCAACTGTAATTTAATACATTTTTAAAGTCGGTGTGATATAGATAGTCTCTAGTTAAGTAGATGAAATTATTCTTATATGCTAGCAAGAAGCTAGACCAGATGAATATTGAAGTCTTTTTGTCTAAACAATTTGATTTTTGACTTGATCATATTTGATAACTACATTCTTCATGTAAACTGTTGATGTACTACTTAAATGTAATTAGTAAGCTCCTGCTATATAATCTACTCCTGAAAACGTTGCAGCATCTAGCTTATCAATATTTGCTGAAATCTAATGAGATTCATGATTTATTTGAAGGTTTAAAGTTAACTACATATTACTGTCTAACCTTTAAATTACCCCAGTTTGGATACCAGAAATAGTTAAATAACCAGCGAAATATGCATAATTATGATCTCCTCCAAAGGCTAAATCAAGAGGTTAACCTACTTAATTAAAGAGTATCCCGGATGAGCCTCCGCTATTTATAGACGCTAAAAGATAATGACTATTCGAATCTTATAATCCAAAATAAATATCGTTATTGGAGCCAAGACTAAGAATAGAATCTTAAGATGGATAAGCTAGATTAACAGTATCTTAAATGCATTTAAGTAAAGTTCCATCTGAGGCTTGCACTATTATGATCATCAATGGATGGATACTGTTAATAACTACTAACTGATCTTAGGCTTCATTGAATTTGATAGTAGTAAATTCCTAACCATTCAAATCTGAGGTCTTAGCCCATTAATACTCTCCCCCTGCTCCTATTAAACCCATAATTGGAAGCTTTTAATTTGAAGAGATTTTTAAAATGGCTGAATCAAATGAGTAACCAGCAAACGCTATATTATCTTAAATATCCATGTCAATTGATTTGAGGTGAGTTTCTCCGCTATTTCCTCCAAGAACTAATGGGAATGTAGTTTGGGGACAATACGATCCTTGTATAAATTGTAGAAAACTAATATAAATCCATGCTATCTGATAGAACCACAGACCCATTTTAGGTTCAAAATTAAACATATTTAATGGATGATGATTTTTAATGTATTAGAATATTAATACTAGCTATTCTATATCCATATAATTAGAATTTAATTAATAATCGCGCAGAACATAAATATTTAACTTTAATTATTAGACTGAGCAGAATATACCTTCTTTACTCTTTGAATAAAAACATGCGACTGAGTATTCATAAACAAACTCCATAAAATCATCATTTATTAAATATTCTTTCTCATTTTCCTATAGATTTAGGTACTATGGGGTTTTGGGGTTTTGGGG